GGCTCTCAGCCCTTTCCAAACTGGGAGGGACTGGTGGCACACACTGGCCAGGGCAGGTGAGGTTCCTGCTCCCGATCCTTTCCAAACTGGGAGGGACTGGTGGCACACACTGGCCAGGAAGGTGAGGCTCCTGGTCCCGGTCCTTTCCAAACTGGGAGGGACTGGTGGCACACACTGGTCAGGGCAGGTGAGGCTCCCACAGAGCTGCTCCCAGGGGCACTGGCTGGAAAAGCAGCTCCTATCCCATGGGAAAGGGACCCCGTGGTTCCCATTCCCAATCCTGACGTGTCCCGTTGCTCCTCAAGGATCCCAAGCCCTGAGCAGGGGACGGAGCCCCAGAGAAGTGCCCTGGGAGCTGCTTCCCAGGAGCTGCTTCCCAGGAGCTGCTTCCCAGGAGCTGCTTCCCAGCAGGACGAGGCCGGAATGCTGCCGATGGGCTCTGGGAGGGAGGTATCCCATGGGATCTGATCCAATCCAAGCCTTCCCTGGCACAACCCGAGGGCATAACCCCCCCTAATGACCTCCAGGGTCGGGGCTCTCCCAGCTTTTCCCCGGGCCCTGGATAATGGGATAACAGGAGAGCAATTCCTGCAGCCCTGGGGCTCTCCCAGGATAAAGGGATGGCAGGAGAGCAATTCCTGCAGCTGTCAGGGCTCTCCCAGGATAACAGGAGAGCAATTCCTGCAGCCCTGGGGCTCTCCCAGCTCTCCCCTGGGCCCTGGATAACAGGATAACAGGAGAGCAATTCCTGCAGCTGTCAGGGCTCTCCCAGCTCTCCCCTGGATAACGGGATGACAGGAGAGCAATTCCTGCAGCCCTGGGGCTCTCCCAGGATAACGGGATGACAGGAGAGCAATTCCTGCAGCTGTCAGGGCTCTCCCTGGATAACGGGATAACAGGAGAGCAATTCCTGCAGCCCTGGGGCTCTCCCTGGATAACGGGATAACAGGAGAGCAATTCCTGCAGCCCTGGGGCTCTCCCAGCTCTCCCCTGGATAACGGGATAACAGGGGAGCAATTCCTGCAGCCCTGGGGC